TTTATTTATTTTATTTATTTTATTTATTTTATTTATTTTATTTATTTTATTTATTTTATTTATTTTATTTATTTTATTTATTTTATTTATTTTATTTATTTTAGTAATTTTAGTATACTATTAATCCTAATTACTTTATATAATATATAATTTGTCTATCTTCTAATTTATTTTTAATCTTATTATTTTTTTAAAGTTATATCTTATTTATATATCTAAGAATAACCTAATCTTAGTAGCTAGCTCAGAATAAAAAAATTATTATTATTACTTATCCATCTAAACTGTTATACCTATTACTCCCACCAGCCTGTATGTTGATAAATATTACTATCTTTAACTCTTTTTCTTTATATATATATATATATATATATATTTATTTATTATCTATTGCTTTAATATTCAATTCTTTATTTCTTGATTTAATAAGTTTATCAACTAACTACTGTATCTATTATCTATATTCATAAAAGGTATATATATATATAGATATTTAGTTTACATTAACATTAATCATATAGAACTAGTATATGTAATATCTCTTAAAATAAGTATGAATTCTATTCTTTTATTCTTTATTTATCTTCTATACTGCTAAGTAGATAGAAAATCCATTTTATCTACCCTAGTTTTTTTTACACGGATTATCTATTAATCCATTACTTATCATGATTAATTTCATTATTATTTGAGCCACACGTAACATGAGTAGATATATAGCTTTGCTTGTCTATCTATAGGGGCAAATGTAGGGTGGGATTGAAGGATATGGGGCGTGCCTGTAACAACTCTTACAATATACTATATGTTATCAGCAGACATGTAAGACATCCACCGCTGATGTTTAAGCTATCTTTCAACCCGTCAACGCGCACTGTCTTTGGAGTCAATTGTTTACATCAATCTCCATTGTTTCACCAAAACACACCTGATTGTTATCAATAGTACTCTTCACTCCAAATCGTGTCGCGACCCTTGTTTCACTAGGACTATTAAAATGCTCCTTATGTGCCTGGCGAGCGCGCTCCCTAGTGGCAATAAGCGCCTTTTGAACGTCATCAATGCCTCTTGGAACTGTGAGTGAAACAGGCTCAGTGTAAAGCACTAGTTCAGTACACCGAGCGCTGTCTTCGGTCACTAGCATTCTTGGGACAGTGGACAATGTATCAGCCAGAGCTGGTAGTATTGTGAGTTGATTGTCCAGGATTTCGACTTCTGCCAGCTCCCTTTCCAGATCATGTATATAAAGGGTGTGCTTGGTATCATCCAGTATCATCTTTTCGCCCTGACTAGATGTAGCAAGCCTTTGTCGATCAGAGGTGTCATGGTGATATGCTAGAGAATCTAATAATCAATCAGATACAAGTAACATAATCGGAGATGATATTCCAATACCAATTGGTTGTTTCAAGTACAGGAATAGGCAACTTACTTAAGTGTAAATGACTGAATCTTTTGGTTAAAGGCTGGTCATGGTCAGGATCCGTTTCTGCGGGGCGCTTTTTCCCGTGATTAATGTTCGCACAGCCAGGTTGCAGTGCCATCAGCTACAGGATACTTGACTTGATCAGATCGGACGAAAGACACAGGAAGTCAAGTAGCAGAAAAGGCCCATTATCTGTTGCTGGGCGAAAGACGATGTACTAAGAAAGCAGATTGCTTGATGAATCTCCACAGAATCTCGAGGGACGGGGAACTGGGTTTGACTCATCTTTTATCGTCCTTTAGGTCAACACCCAGAATATTCTACCACCTTCACACTCCCCCGCTCTGGAACAACCCATCAGCAAAGCCCAACACAAGACCATTCAGCATGGCCTCGAGTGACCCGTCTGGGGCGGACTGGACTTCTAGAAAAGTTCGAGATACTTTTCTTCAATATTTCAAAGGGAATGGCCATACATTCGGTGCGCAACAGCCTTTTCTGAACCGTTTCATCCTAACTTAACATTTGCCACACATAGTTCCCTCGTCCCCTGTTGTGCCTCACGCTGATCCAACGCTGCTGTTCACCAATGCTGGAATGAACCAGTTCAAGTCTATCTTCCTAGGCACAGTCGATCCCCAATCTGATTTTGGCAAACTCAGAAGTGCGGTCAACTCCCAGAAGGTGACAACCCCCCACCACCCCTAAAGGATCCGCACGGTGTGACGTGCTAATTTCATTTTGTATAGTGTATTCGTGCTGGAGGAAAGCATAATGTGAGTGAAACCGACATCTCGCACTTTTCAGCTTGGAATATTCGCTGATTGCACCTGTTGTAGGATCTTGATGATGTCGGCAAGGACAGTTATCACCATGTAAGTCTTTTGACACGGTCGCTTCTATTTTGATGCTAAAAGGCCTGCCGTACAGACATTTTTCGAGATGCTCGGAAACTGGAGCTTCGGTGATTACTTCAAGAAAGAAGCAATTTGCTACTCATGGGAATTGTTGACGACAGTATATGGCTTGGATCCCCAACGTCTCTACGTTACATACTTCGAAGGTAACAAGGAAGGTGGTCTAGAGCCCGACCTTGAGGCGAAGGAGCTCTGGAAATCCGTCGGTGTCCCTGAAGATCACATCCTTCCTGGAAATATGAAGGATAACTTCTGGGAAATGGGTGACCAGGGTCCTTGTGGACCCTGCAGTGAGATCCATTATGATCGGATCGGTGGGCGTAATGCTGCCCATCTCGTGAATCAAGACGACCCCAACGTCCTTGAAATATGGAATAACGTCTTCATACAGTATAATCGCGAGTCAGACCGTTCTCTGCGACCCCTTCCCAACAAGCATGTCGATACTGGAATGGGATTTGAGAGGCTGGTGTCGGTATTGCAGGACAAATCGTCTAACTATGACACCGACGTCTTCTCTCCCCTATTTCAGGTAATTAGAGATGTCACTGGAGCCCGTGAATATCGCGGGCAGTTTGGGGCGGATGATTCGGATGGCATTGACACTGCGTATCGTGTCATCGCAGACCATATTCGCACCCTGATGTTTGCAATTTCGGATGGTGTCATGCCGAACAACGAGGGACGTGGGTATGTTATTCGCCGGGTGTTACGCCGAGGGGCACGTTACGCTCGAAAGTACTTCCAAGTTGAGATTGGAAGCTTCTTTTCTAAGCTTGTGCCCACTGTCGTGGAACAACTTGGTGGAATGTTTCCAGAATTGAAGAAAAAACAGTTTGATGTCATGGAAATACTTGACGAAGAGGAGATGTCATTTGCTAAAACGCTCGATCGTGGTGAGCGACAATTTGAACATTATGCTCAGCAAGCCAAAGCCAAGGGCGACGAAAAGCTTCATGGCGCCGATGTCTGGAGACTCTATGATACCTTTGGGTTCCCTGTCGACTTAACGCGTATCATGGCAGAAGAGCGCGGGTTGCAAATCGATGACAGTGAGTTTGAGGAAGCGCGCCTCAAAGCCAAGGAAGCGAGCAAGGGACAAAAAAAAGCGGCAGCCGACACAGTCAAGTTGGACGTTCACGACTTAGGCAAGCTAGAATTAATGAGCGACGTCGTCAAGACTGATGATACAGCGAAGTTTGGAAAGGGTAATATCAATGCCCAGGTGAAGGCTATTTATCACGGCAAATGCTTCCACTCATCTACGGCAGATATACAGAGCGGCGAACAGCTTGGGATAATCCTCGATCGTACGAATTTCTATGCAGAACAAGGAGGGCAGGAAAATGATACTGGCAGAATTATCATTGATGGCGAAGCAGAGCTTGAGGTTGGCGATGTTCAGCTCTATGCTGGCTATGTTTTGCATACAGGATTCATGAAGTATGGTACCCTAGCGGTTGGAGACACGGTCATTTGCGAATATGACGAACTCCGCCGGTGGCCAATTCGCAACAACCACACCGGAACACATATACTCAACTTCGCTTTGAAGTCGGTTTTAGGTGACGGCATTGAGCAGAAAGGCTCACTTGTTGCTGCGGAAAAGCTCAGATTTGACTTTTCACATAAGTCACCCGTCACAGACAAAGACTTGGCCAGAATCGAGGAAATATCAACTGAATATATTCGTCAGAATTGTGCAGTCTACTCGCAAGAGGTTCCCCTGGCCATCGCTCGTCAAATTTCAGGAGTTCGGGCTGTATTCGGCGAAACATATCCCGATCCTGTCCGTGTTGTCTCCGTTGGAGTGGAAATTGGTGAGATTCTGGACAATGTCACTGATCCTAGATGGCAAGAAGTAAGTATTGAATTCTGCGGCGGAACACACGTGCAGAAAACAGGCGACATCAAGGATCTTATAATCCTGGAGGAGGGAGGCATAGCCAAAGGTATTCGCCGAATCATTGCGGTTACTGGCGAGGATGCCCATGCAGTGCAACGCATTGCAGTGGAGTTCGGTAAGCGACTCGATAGACTCGAAACTATGCCTCTAGGCTTGGAGAAAGAGAAAGACGCGAAACAGATCCAGGCGGAGCTGAATCAGCTATCGATTTCTGCTCTTCAGAAGTCTGGTTTCCGAGAACGCTTCGCTCGCATCAACAAACAAATTCTTGACGAGCAAAAGGCGCAGCAAAAGCTCGAGTCCAAAACAGCCCTTGACACTATCACCGGTTATTTTCAAAATCCGGCGAACAAAGACAAGTCCTGGCTGGTTGCTAAACTTCCCATTTCTGCTAATGCAAAGGCCGTCAGCGAAGCTATCAACTATGTAAAGTCCAAGTTGTCTGATAAGACAATCTATGTTATGGCTGCAAGCTCCGAGCAAGGCCGTGTTGCGCATGGTTGTCACGTCGCTAAGGTATATCTGCCTGCTTTCCCTCGCCTCCTTATGAATCGACTCTTTATGCAGTTGACTAATACTCTCATCGTTAGGCAACGAGTGATCAAGGCGCATCGGCCACCGAGTGGGCTACTGTTGTGTCTAGCGCAGTCGGAGGGAAGGCCGGCGGCAAGGGACCTACTTCTGTCGGCAACGGAACAAATCCTGAAAAAGTCGATGAAGCCATTGATCTGGCATCCGACTATCTTTCCAGGTTCAAACTATAGAATGGGTGTCTCTATTCGCTTGTTTTTGGGCCTCATGTTACCTAAGTTGAACAGCTATTATGATCACCTTCTTGGCATCAGTCTATCAACATTTGAAAATACCTTGTGACTTTCAAGGTTTAGGTTCAGCCACTAGAGTTCGCAATATATGTAGTATGATGTATCTGAGAGCTATGGATAGCCACTCAGTGTAAACTAAACTTATTTACATCTCACCGCACTGTGTGATAAAGATTTCCTGGTTGGGCTTGTCTCTGGTTGTGCGTGTGTTCTCAATCATCCGTACTATATCCATTCCGTCCACCACCTGTCCAAAGACAACATGCTTACCATCCAGGAAAGGAGTAGTGGTAGTAGTTATAAAAAATTGGCAACCGTTTGTGTTTGGCCCAGAATTCTAATACGTTGGTGGCTCAGTTTGTTATATTCAAACGCAATGACAGTCATCGATCTGGATACATACCGCCATGCTTAGCATACCTGCATTCGTATGCTTTAGGGTGAAGTTTTCGTCTGCGAATTTCGATGTTCCATAGATGGTACAGGTTCCAGTCCCATCGCCATTGATGAAATCACCTCCCTGGATCATGAAATCTTTGATCTTGATGAATTCAGCTTGCGCTCGGAATGGTGAACCCGTCGCCTGAACATACCACGCGATGGAATTTGCTATTCTTGTATCCTTGGGGTCGTCCCTGGGCATTTCTATTCTCTCCGGTGCAAAACTGGCGAAAGTTCTCTGCTGTGCGCGGAGTGATATTTGCAAAAAGCTCCATCTTGATCCGACCTAGAGGTTCACCTGTCGAATAAATGCTTCATTTAGCAAGGTGGCTCTGATTCGAGAAGTAAAAAATGGCTTCATAGCGAGTCCGGTTGAGCCCATGCGTGTTGGTGCAGATTAAACTATCTTGCCTGGCTTACCTCCTAAAGACACATCAAAGAAAACCACTGGGTTGGTGTCTCTGTGAGGAGACCCGGCCGCATTCTCCATGGGATTTGTGTTCTCTGAGATTTCTGAATCTTATGATATGGCATTGATCGGACTATGCGAAAGTCTGGTTATATTATATTCTACCGAGCTGGTGCTCACAAGCCATATAGATAACAGAATCAACCAGTCCTTGGTCTTAGCTAAAGTTTAGTAAGACCACACTGCATCGTTCCCCACTTTCCGGACTTAATCTACTACCACTCGAACCCATTCGCATTGTAATAATTCTTCTAGAAATATCGCGATTAGTTATTCTAGTAAGCATACGCTGATCAACGGTCTTGGTTTTTACCGCCGGCACCCCTACTTGGTGTTTTTACGGGACTGATGTCATATGCTTTTAGCTTGAGATCCGAATCCATATCACTTGATGATTAGGTATAGTAATAACTGCTGACTACTACAAATCCGCTGGTGACGGACGACCGACAGTTGTGTGGACTAGCCGTCTCGGGACTCTGGTTACAACCTCAGCTCTTCGCAAGTTCGCTGGAGATAACCCAACGACCACCAGATTTAAAACCTCTGGTTGGCCTTCTATATGGTTATTAATGACTCCGAGACTATTTCCGGGAGGAAGATGCTTGTTTAAGCAAAATTAGTGATGAATTGTCGCGAGTCACTTTCATTGTCCCTCCTATCTTGTGGTCTCCGGATACCTAGATGAGCTGCATTGCCACCTTCAGTATTGTCCTCTGAGGCAGTATTATCCATAGTCTGTGTTTGATCAACGGCACATCATCGAATCTTTCCCCCGCAAACATACATCGAGCCTGCGCCGCACGGTCTATTCTCTTGGGTTCCCAAGAGTTTATCACCTCTATCAATTATCAACCCACTTCTATTTACTTGGTCGAGATGTCCTCAACAACGACTAGTCCAATCGCCAGTGCTACCAATACCGACCATAATGGCGGTGGTAACAATACTAGCCCCACAAGCTCACCGTTGCTGTTTTTTGTTGCTCTTGGCTTCGGTGTTGTTTTTACAAATTTATGGTCAGTTTATGTCCGTTGTCACCAACTCATGTGTGCAGGCTTAATGGAAACTTGTAGGATTATTGTTGGAGTTAAATATTGCTTCCGATACAACCAACGAAATCGACAGATGCGTGGCGAAGAAACAGGGGAGCCCATAGATCTTATAGCTATGCCTCGAACACACCGACGACGGCGAGAAAAGAGGCTGATGAGCATGGACGAGGTCAATCAACGCTTCCCACTTATTAAATACAAAGCTTGGCGTTCGTCTCGCGCTGATGATGGCCTTTCTACTGCTGGTGAAATCGCATCACCTACTGGGGATGATCACAATTTAGAGGGCGGTCATGACCGGCTTACAAGTTCTCCTCCCTCCGCGACACCACAACTGAAGGATAATAGACAGCTGGGATCTGGGATGTCGCTAGCTGAAGAATCACGACAGCATGTTGAAACGCCGTTAACTCAATCGCAGGGGAAGTGCCCAGTGGCTATCGATCTTGCTCGAGTCCAGACTCACGTCAAGGATAGTACCAACCTCGGAAAATATTACCAATTATCGTCTCATAGCTGACCATCTGTACAGGCCACTATAGAGGATGACGACGATCTTGGACATCAAATACGTACCGCCGTCCCCGCCGAACTGCTGGCGAATCCTGGCGACACATGTGCCATATGCCTCGATTCGATCGATGACGATGATGATATACGTGGGCTCACATGCGGCCACGCCTTTCATGCTTCATGTGTTGATCCTTGGCTGACAAGTAGAAGAGCTTGTTGTCCTCTTTGCAAGGCGGATTACTATGTCCCAAAGCCACGTGCGGAAATGCACGACTCTGCCACCAATGCAGAACGGACCGGTCGTCGTGTCAGTGTGCCAGCCTATCCCCAGGCAGTGTTTCTTGGAGGACGAATAAATAGTCCTGGATCTCCGCGATTATATCCTCCAGCACAGCACGCACAACCCACATACCGAACTGTCTTCTCTCGATTTGGACTCTGGCAAAGACCTGAGGCTAGCCATAGTCATGATTTCAATCACGCAGCTGAATTGACGTCACAGTCTGACCCAAGGAACAGCAGAGCTGGCCTATTCTTTGCACGTTTCTTTGGCCCCCGAACTTCAACTCCGAGCCGTGCTGGAAATGAGCTTGCGTCCCATGCAGCAAGCACCCCGCATCCGGGCAATAACCGCACGCTTAGTCAACTTGAGGCTGGACCTACTGTCTGAGACGTGATTGCCTTTCGTTATTGTGTTCCAATGAGTCGGCCTGATTGACACCCATCATCTCCAGTCAGGGCTTTGGAGTATCTTCTAGCCTTCTATAAGTAATTTCACGAAGACCTGTATAATCTCTTAATGCCATCGATTTTATTGACCGCCATTGTTTATTCTTCTGATCGGAGGGACAGTACACCCGCCTTCAGGTTTCAATAATCTGATGGGCGAGAAGCACTCCCGAGTACGTAGTCTACTGTATATTGCAAATCATCTTTTCCGTGTCCCAAATAGTTAATAGTTCTGGCGCCTTGGGGGCAGGTTGTGTGCGTTCTTGCCGTTTCCGGTGACCGAGCAGGAGGAAATGTCAAGGCTAGAGATCAAGTCTCATGGCATCCCCTGGCATCTGCCCGAAGCTTTCCCGGTTTTAACTCAATTATTTACAAGTAGTATCATGGTAATATAACATTTTCTTTTTCAAACAATATAGATTATATTAATCTTTAAAGTATTAAAAAATATCTCATACGTATGTACTTATTATAATTGATATCTATATTATCATTATAATTAAATTTGATCTAATATATAAAAATATATCTAAACTATATATTAATAAGATCTAAGAATTAAAATTATTCTAAAGATATTAAATAAAATTATATACTTTTTTATTATCTAAAAGAATAATAAAATATTTTATACACTTAATAATATTACTACTAGATTAATTGAAAATAAATAATTATTCAAAAAATATAGATATATATATTAAAGCTACTACTAGAATTACTTAAACTTATTTATAACATCAAAGAATACTAGAAATATAATATATATATCTAAATCGAAAAAAAACTTTAATGTTATATTAAAGACTATTGTTATATAAATATATTAAGTACTGTTTAATATATTTAATATATAAGATATATTAATATAAATTATGTAATCATCTATAATGAAAATTTTATTTCATATTATAATAATAGATTTTATTATTAAAGGTTCTAAAATTAATAATTTAGATCAAATGATAATGATTGGTATTAATTTTTTAAAAATCTATTACCATCATAGTGGTTAATAATAAAAGCTAAGAAGTATAATATAAATGAATTCTTAAAAAAAATCTTAGGAATAATCAAAATTTTAAAAATAAAAAAATATATTTTATTCAAATAGTAAAGAAAATAGTAGAAAAAATAATAATAAAATCTTTAATTGAATTGAAAATTATTATAAATACTAGTTTAATAAGTTGAATAGTCTTATAAAATAATATATATATATATATAAATATATATATATATGGAACATGGATTCTAATAAAAATAAAAGGATAAATTATTTATATATATATATAATATAACAGGCACTACAGGGCTGTCAGTATTACAGTAGTTGATGGCTTAAGCCGGGAAGTAAGCAAGTAAGAAGGTTGAATTAGAAGGAAATCTCAGGAATAGTTAAAACTTGGAGATCTAAGAAGTCTTCTATTAAGGTAGTATAAAAGATAGCAGGAAGACAGAATAGTAAAATTCTTAAATAAACTAAGATTCATTATATATACTAGTTTAGTAAACTTAATATTCTTATAGAGTAATTTATATATATATAAATAATAAATAAAATAGAAATATTAATAAATATATAAAGTAATTTATAATTTATAAAATAAAAAAAAAGAAATACAGATATAAGAAAATATATATTATAATTAAGATAACTAATATTTTTTAAATTTATAAATTAAATTATTTATTATGATATTCTTTTTATAGATCTAGATATTATTAATAGAATTATATTTAAATTAGTAGATAAAATATTTAGTAATAAATTTTTTAATATATTTATATAAAATAATATATTTTTTTAGAATAGTAGAAATTTTCTAATATTTTTTATTAAAAAATCTTTTATTAATAATATAAAAAAATTTAAATAATATATAATTATAAAAATCTACTTTTATAGAAGTAGACTTTAATTATATAGTAAAAATAATAAAATAAATAATTTATAATTTTAGAAAACTAAGATAATATATATAATATCTAATAATTTTAGTAATAAAGAATAAATTAATATATTATTATATTAACTTAATTTTAATATTCTTAATTATAGAAATAATATATTTTTTATATATATATAAATATACAGAACTACTAATATAGAAAAATATAAGTTTATATTTTATATTATATATCTTTTTTATATAAATAATTATAAACTTAAGGGCTTCTTTAATATTAAAATATTATAAAAAACTTAATTAGTATTAGTTTTAATAATGGAAATCTTTTAGAAATATTTAAAATATTTTTTAATTTACTTAATAAAAATATCTTAATAATATAAAAATATAATAATTCTTTACTTATTTATTTTTATAATAGATTATTTTTTAATTATACTAATATATTTTATAAATTTATTAATAATTATAAATATTTAATTATTCTTATTTTTAATTAGAAGAATTATAATAAAGTTTATAGTAATTATATAAAATAGTTTAATAATAAAGATAATTAGTTATAAAATATTATATAATTAATATTTTTAGATTTTATTCCTAAGATATATAAAATAATAAATATATTTATAAAATAACTTATATATTTTATAAATAATAAGATTATTTAATTCTAGAAGATATTTCTTATAACCTTAGTTATTATAATTATTATAAATAATATAAAAAATCTTAAGTATAAAAAAATAAAATAAGTATATTTATAATTATTTTACTAAATTAATACTATTATCTATAATAATATTATATATACTAATATTAATATTTTTGATTATATAAAAAAAACTATCTTTTATAAAATATAATAAATTAATTTAGAAATTAGATTATATAATATTAATAATTTCTAATACTTAAAAATCAAAGATATAACTATTATAAATTTATTATTTAAAAAAATTATTAACTTTAATAATATATATAATATAATATTCAGATATTTAATAAATATTAATAGAAGTATCTTTAAGATTATATTCTAGAATAATATAAAAAATATCTTTAAATTAAAATAATTAAAAAAATATATTAATAGTAATTTTAAATATATTAGAGTAATAAAATATAAATAAATTATATTACTAGATATATTAAAAGATATAGATAAAATATAAATTAAAGTATTTAACTATAATAATATTAAATATAATTTACTTAAATATACTAATAATACTTATATAATTTTTATAAATAATAAGAGGTAAAAATAGTAATATAACTTATATAAAATATTTTAATTTATAAAGTATTTATATAAAATATAATATTTTTTAATTTAATTAATTAATAATTATATTTTATAAGAGTTAAAGTTTTACTTAGAAATAAAATTAATTATATATATATATAAATAAATAATTTAGATAAGTCTTTAAATTTTAGTCTATCTAAAATATAATATATTATAATATTATAATTATTATAATAAGTATTAAGATTAATATAAAACTAATACTTAAGATTATAATAAATAAGTTTTTTTAAATTTATAAATTTATATTATAAGTTCTTAAATATCTTATATTTTTTATTAATATTAATAAATATTATACAGATAATATAATTTTAATAATTATTAAAATAATTCTTAATTAAAAGTATTTTATAATTTTATAAAACTAAAATCTTTTAGAAATAATATTATATATAATAATATAACTATCTAATAAAATTAAGGAAATAATCTAGTTTAACTAGATTTATAAAAAAAAAAGTTTTTAATAATCTAGAATTTACTCTTAGATATATTAAAATTAAATATATTAATATACTAATCTAAAAGTATTATAAAAAAAATTAATAAAAATTTTAATAAACTTAAATTTTAAATTTATTTTCTTAAAATAATTAAAGATAAAATTAAAATAAATAAAATATTTATCTAGATTCTTAGAAGTAATAATTATATTATTAATATAAATATAATAAAATTCTTAGAATTTTTATAAATTAAGATTTATTTAATATTATATATATAATATTAAATTAATATATTTTATAATAATAATATAAAATACTTTTTAATTATAATATATAATTATAATAAGAAAATTTTAGTAATTATTATAAATTAATTATCAATAAAAAAAATAAATAATATTAATAATAAAAATAAAATAATATTTTTAAATTTAGTTTTCTTATTAATAGTATAGAGATTAATTATAGTATAATTTTTAAAAATATTATTTATAATATATTATATTATAAATATTAAATAAAATAATAAAGTATATTCTATAATATATAATATTTTTTTATAGTATATAAAGAAGTAAATATATTATTAATTATTTTTTAATTATATTTAAAAACTTAGTATATTTAGGGTTTTAGTATATAATTTTTTTATTTTTTTTAGAAAAAGATTTATAATTATTAATTTTTAGAAATATTAATTATATTAATATTTAAATTATCTAGTAGAGTTTATATATTATATAATATAAATATTTTTTTAAGTTAATAAATAATTTTAAAATTATTATAAATAATAATATTATTAAATAAAATAATAATATTACTAATATTAAAATTATTAATATAAAGACTAGACTATATAATTAAATATATAAATAAGAAAAATTTTAGTATTATTAATATTTAAAAAAGTTTTATTTTATTTAAAAAAATATTTAGATTAGTAATATATACTAAAACTTTAGAGATATATCTATAATAAAACTTATTATTAATATTAATATTCTTAAAATATAGTACTTTAGTATAAGTAATAAAATAATTAAATTTAATAATATAATTTTTAATAATATATATTATAATATACTTATTATTTATAAATACTTTTACTTAGATATAATAACTAATAATTACGAAAATAAATATATTATTTATTACTTTAATAAATAAAAAAAATTAATTAAATATATATATATTAATATTTCAATATTATTTTTTAATTTAAATATATAATTAATATTAGTAAAGTTAATATATATCTTAATAA